ACAAACAAATACCTCAGAATTCTCTTAAACTCAAAGCAAAGCTACGTGAATGAGGCCGATTTTGTCCAGTTATCAGGATGGGCTGATTACATAGCCCAGATTCATTTGCCTGAAGATAATTGCCTCAATTCTCCACTTCACTTTGCACATATAGAAATAGTCCCCAATCTACCAGAGCCTCAGTGACTAGACATGTAAAATTGGTCTAATCATAGTTTGAAGAGCTTGGGCTGAAAGGATTCTATGAGCATGTGCCTGAACCGTGACACCACTAAGGGTTTCTTCCCTCCGCGCTCCAGGCTCACCCACCCCCACGCTCGCTCCCTCCCTCAGGTCTGCAGGGTGAGTCAGATCCTAAGCAGTTGAGATGTACACAGCCTCAGGCTGTTGGTGCTAGAGGCTGTGTACGTGCGTGATAGCTGGGAGAGTTGAAGACTCAGAGTTGAGAGTATTCCCAATGGTTGGCTAGTTGTCTGCAGTCAGTAGTACTTTCCACCCTCCCTCGCTGCAGGAGAGGCTGGTGTGCAGCACAGAGGTGGACAACGGAGGCCAGCCTCACCAGCGCTGTGGCACCTGTGTGCACGGACGATGAGCTACATCAGATCTGGACAGACAGAACCCAGTCCTGAACTCTATGGTCAAAGCAAGGCAAGTGGTCAAGAGTCCAGGGGCGGAAGGAGCTGCTCTATGAAGCAGGGCCACCACACGGACCAGGCGGCCACATCTCTAAAGGCATGTACTGAAGCTTCACCTGGATAAGGGAGCTTCTAGATGCTTCTTGCTGGATCCAGAGTCTGGAAAGAAGCCGGTGGGAGGACTACCACAAGGGCACAAGTGAGGGGAAAGGAAAGCCAGCTCGTGAGCCGACAACTCCTAACAATCCCTACCCAGGAATGCGGCAGTGCTGACCCTATCTCCCTCGTAACCTGAATGGCACAAATACACCATTGTGATCCCAACAATGGCCTGGACAGAACCCAGCCACGTCAGAAAGATGATTATTTCCCCCTATTGTTTGCCTTGAGCTCTGTATGGCATTCCCCCAAAATCATAAAATCCAGAGCTTGGCGCCTTCGCCATTTCTCCTGGTGAGCACCAACTGAGGTCGGTGTACTGAGGAACGGCACAACAGTACCCCAGGGAGACGGGCCAAGTGCACTTGCATTGTGCTCACGCCCTCGGGGAAGAGGCAGGAGAGCCCAGTGCCAAATTCTCAGTGGGGTTGAACCCCTCTGGCTGATGGCCATGGCGAGGGTGGGGAGCGGCCCTTCCACGTCCCCGAATTCATTTCTATCCAAAGTTTGAAAAGCGTTCCGTCTCTCAATAGTCCTTTCCAATGATTGTCCGAAAAACATGTTCAAGAGTGATTATACCCACTCAGCTGACAGAACAGAACCGATCCTTTATCTTAAATCTCAGCTTGGAAAATGTGTTGGTGTCTAAGGGACCTCTGACAATAGCCTGCAATGCTTCTACAAGTTCATGGGGTTCATCTCTGTCTCCCGGAGAGACCAGCACATGGCTTCTGCACATGGTAGACACAGAAACAGGTGGCCTGCAAGCAATCCTCACAGGGGAAACTGCAAAGCCCTGTGAGGTAAAAACAAACAAACAACCACCACCACAAACTTCTGTTTCTAGAAACCAGCAGATGAGCTGCATCTGATTCTAATCACTGTCAGTTTCCCCTGCCCGGGTGCGTCTACCTGGCAGAGCTCGCCTCCTTCAGCACCTGCTGTCACTCTGCTTTGTAATATCGGGGGCCTTGCACACCGACACACACATTGGATTGGCAGAGAAATTAATTGCTCATCCCCAATTACTTCCATCTCCCCACAATGCCAGGAGTACTGTCTTGGTCATAGAAATGACTCTGTTCGTGATTGCTGAATAGCCTATTCCATTTGTAATTTCTGAGACAGCCCCAGGAGGGGAGGCAAAGAGAACCAATCCAATTAATAGACAGGCTGGCCTTGTGTCTCAGAGCCTTAAGAGCCCCACCCCGGGCCGCCGAGTCCATCTTCATTTTACCTGTTTGTCTGCGGCTTGAAACTGACACCTAAGCATTCCTTTTTGTCACTGTGCCCCTCATATTTTCAAATGGTACCCCACAGAGGCAGCCGTTCTTCAGCCCCCAGACCTCCCAATAGACTCAGATCTGACTTCAAGGGTAAGACAGTCAGCCTCAAGCTCCACCATGGAAAACATCTCCACTATGTTGGCTGGCTGACTGGCTGGCTGGCTGGCTTAACACATCTTCTGAGGACCAACCAACAACTTCCTGACAGCCTATTCTACTCCGGGGCTCAGCTGAATGCAACCCCCCCACCATAAATCCCCCTAAATAGGGGTTCCAATTTTGCCCTCTGGAGCACATAAAGTAACTCTTAGATGACACAAGTCATCTAAGGAGCTGAAGGCAATATTCTTCCCAATGCATCCAAACAAAACCCTTACTGGTAATACTGAAATGAGCCCCAAAAATGGTGCTTTCCTGACCAACTGGTTTAGGAGCTTCCCTCCCGCAGAGCCTGAAGGTAATATATGACCACACTTTGTAAATCATCAGATGGAGAGAGAGACCCCTTGTTCCTTGGCCTGGTAACAACTGAGGTCATTCATCACCCACTTGGTCCTTTTTGAAATTCACTCTGCAGCAAGCACTTTTTAAAGTCATGCACGTAATGCATTTTAAAGAGCATTTTCTGCACAGATCCATTTGCTCACCCTCGGCTCTAAGTGCGGGATGGCACAGTATTTCAGTGCAGTCCCTGGGCAACGCAGTCCCCCCGGAGCCTGTGCTGAATGCACACCAGAATGTATTTGCAACTAGACATGACCAGGGCTTGAAAAGGTAGTGTTTTGTTAAATTGTTTGCTGATTAAAATGCATCCTACAAAGAAAGAGCATTGCTAATGCAGAATCTAGTCCAAAAATATGTATTATGTAATGCGTATTTTTAAATAATGCAGGCAATCTCTGCGTATCTATATTAGTTGATCAGCTCTAGGCTGCCATCTCCATTATAGGCATAACGCACTCCATCTGAAAAATGAAGTACTTCTCCGGCACACTAAAGAATCGCCCTCCACCTCACTGCTGACAGCCGGCGTTAGTTTCCATTGAAAGGGCATTTGCCGGCACCCACATATTCCTGGCTTTTTTGTTTTGTTTTGTTTTCCCACTCAGTATGCCTTGAAATCAGCTAGACAGATGTGTTCATACTTCAGACACCGTCGGTGGAGCTGTGCCAATTGAAAGAAATAAAGTGGGTGGCTCGACACCCAAACTGTCCCCATTCGTCTGGGCTGAGGGGCAGAGATCAAAATTTGAGAGATAGCTCCCGATACCCCTGCCCAATGTCCCACACTTACAAGGTGATTATACCTGTAACAGTAAAACTCTTCCGTTTCTCTGCAAAGTGTTAAGAGTGGGACACAACCAAACTTACTCTGCTTTTATGGGGTCTGCCAAATCAACCCCACTCTATTAGACCCATCAGTATTTTAGTGCTACCAACAACCTCCTAGGACACAAGATCTAACACCGACAGACACAGAAGTAAAATCTCAACTGCCCAAAGCCCAGGCTGGAACGCCACTAAGGTCTTAACCCTAGGTCTGGCAGCTTCCAGGCCGGCTGCCGTCCGGCAGCGAGGGGGAGCCGACGTCGGGAACACGAGTGAGCTGAGCCTCCCCCGAGGAGCCCTCTCCTCTTGAGTCTCCTCACTCCAACACAACCAGAACGATACGCCAGCTCGTAGTATGTGCCCTGCACAGCAGCCTTAGACGCTCAGCTCTAGCACCTTTGTTCTAGTCTCGAAGGCACGTCTGGCAAGGAGGGCGAGACTCAAGGCAGGCACACCCTAAGAGCGGCGGTCACGCCGCAGCGGCACCCCCGCCCCCCCCCCACGGTGTGGACCTCGGTTGACTTCGTGGGGCTGACCGGGCGGGAGCCGCCCCCGCGGCTCAACCTCGCCCTCTATGGAGTCTGGCCGGCCCCCACCCCACCGCCCCGGGCGAGCCATCTCTTTGCTCCCACGGAATTCCAGCCGGATTAAAACAATGCTAGTGGGTGAAGAGGCATTGATTCTGGATGATTTACGGTTCCAATTAACAGCAGATTAATCCTCAATATCCGTTCCTTAATGCGAGGGGTTTTTCTTCTCCACTACTCTTCCTTCAGCACCTCGAACAGGGCTTGGCACGGGCTAGGCACTCTGCGAGTGCCCTGTGTGCGTAAAAATTCCTCGGCTGAAAGCCGATCTCGGTCACAGCTCCGAGGGGCGCGCGCGGCCGGCGCCGGGGGCGCGGGGACGGGCTGACGGTGCGCCCGGGAGCCGGCCAGCCTCCAGCCCAGCTCCCGCGCCCCCCCCCCGTCTTCAGCCCGTCTAAGCTGGCGGGTCCCAGGGGCTCAAGTGGGAGTCCCCCTTTCGGACCTTCTCGAGGAGGCTTACGGGTCCACGAGGGGGGCTAGCCAGATGAGAAGGCCCAGGGAGCCTATTTTCTGGAAGCTTCTGTAATTAGTCACGATAACGCATCTGCCAAAGGTGGTTCTGTGATTAATGATTGCCTGAGGTTACCATCCTGAAACTATTAAGCCCCTGGAAAACGCCCGGGGCCGGATCATTAATACCCGCGCGCGCGGATCCCCCGCTCCCGGAGGGGAACGATTTACCAGTCCGAGCTTCGGCGGGCGCAGGGAGGGGGGGGCGTCTCCGTTTCCCGAGAAGTTGGCAAGGGCACAGCCCGGGTGGCGAATCCTCAACTAGTCGCCCAAGTACTCTAACCTGTAGCTGAGCGTGGGGCTGGCGCGCGGGCCGGGCGCCCCGCCCGCCGCCTCGCCGGGCTCACTCCAAACAAGGTTCCCTTCTGCCACCTGCCGGCGTGCAGGGGCGAGCGCCGCGCGGGAGGGGGCGGCCCGCGCCTACTGCACATGCCCGGACGGCGCGCGTCGACCGGCGCGCAAGTTGGCGAGCCTCAGCGCCCGGGCTCCCAGAGCTCAGTCTCCTCTCCTCTCCCAGGCGAGAGGATCAGAGGAGGCACCTCCCGAGTCCCAGACTCGGCGAGAGGAGCCCCGAGGAGACGACGCTCTCCTCCCCGCCTTACCTTCCTTCCTTGCGGCGAGACTACTAGAGGCGCAGAGCTTAAGAAAGTTTTTAAGTGCCGCCTAGGTAGGTGCTTCCTTCTCCTTCTCAGCCCGCGGTGGGACGGGGACCCGGGGACCCCCGCTCTCTCCTCCTAAGGCGCTTCCTTCTAGGTTCCAGCAGCCCGTGCGGGTCGGAGCCACTCTCTGCGGTGTCAGGGAGTGGACCGGCTTCTCGGGGCGTCCAAGAGGATGGATCGCAGGCCCCGGGGTCAGCATTGGCGCCGAGCTCGCCACAACTACAACGACCTGTGCCCGCCCATCGGCCGCCGGGCAGCCACCGCGCTCCTCTGGCTCTCCTGCTCCATCGCGCTCCTCCGCGCCCTCGCCACCTCCAACGCGCGTGCCCAGCAGCGCGCGGCCGCCCAGCGCCGGAGCTTCCTCAACGCCCATCACCGCTCCGCCCAGGTGTTCCCCGAGTCCCCTGAGTCCGAGTCTGACCACGAGCACGAGGAGGGAGACCTGGAGCTGTCCCTCCCCGAGTGCCTAGAGTACGAGGAAGAGTTCGACTACGAGAGTGAGACCGAGACCGAGACGGAGACCGAGTCCGAGATCGAGTCCGAGACCGACTTCGAGACCGAGCCCGAGACCGCGCCCGCCAGTGAGCCCGAGACCGAGCCCGAGGACGGGCGCAGCCCCCGTCGCGCCGCCTTCAACCAATCCCTCACCGAGCGCCTGCACGCGCTCAAGTTGCAGAGCTCCGAGGCGGCCGCCAGCCCCGCGCAGCCCACCACTCAGGAGCCCCAGCGCCCCGGCGAGGGGGAGGAGCCCGAGGAGCGCGATCCCCGGGACCCCGAGGAGTCTGAAGAGCGCAAGGAGAAGAAGCAGCAGCGCCGCTGCAAGCCAAGAAAGGCCACCCGCCGCGACCCCTCCCCCGAGTCCCCTTCCAAAAAGCCATCCATCCCCATCCGGCGTCACTGATGGAGGACGCCGTCCAGATTCTCCTTGTTTTCATGGATTCAGGTTAGTTGCCCGTGGCTACACCGGGGGCCTGGCGGGAGCAGTGTGGGTGCTGCGGGAGGAGGAAGGATGGGCAAAAAGGCTAGACGGGTTAGGGCGAGGGCTCCGCGGGTCGGCTGGAAGCCGGGGATAATGGCGAGGGAGCAGGGGCTCCCCAGATCTTCCCAGGGCGCCCCGGAAGCCAAGGGTCTGTTGGACGGCAAGGCGCGCCCTGCGCCTCGCTGGAGACAACCTGAGGTTTCTGAGATGGTGCCTGGGACGCGAGACTGAAGCGGAGCGCGCGCCCCAGACCTCGAGCCGTACACAACTCACCGCAGAGGTAAGCCAGCTGTGTGGCGCGCGTGTGTGCCTCCTAGAAAGAGCCGTCTCAAGTAAGCTGGCTCTGGCAGGCCCCGAACTGTTGTGTGTTCGGAGGTGCGCGCGCTCCAACTTTCAGGATCGCGGAGCCGCAGCGCAGCAGCGACACTGTTGCAATGCGCGAAAAGTAAGCGGCACGGGATTGGGCGAGCCGGAGACGGCGGCTCCGGAGCAAAGTTGTAGGTGCGCCAGGCGCCCTCACGGGCGCGTAGCCTGAAGCCTTGGTCCCGGAGCTGCCAATCGGAGCCGCGGGACCTCGGCATCAGCGCTCCTCACTGCGGAACTGCTCCGCTACCAGGCGCTGGCAGGGCTGGAAGCCACGGAGAAGAGCGTGCGCCTCCGTCCGTGCGCCCCAGAGCCAACTTCTGGTGGCCCGGCATTCCCCCGTGAGTCATTGGTATTTGGGGGACGGGGGACATAGCGCGGGTACAGAGGCGTTTGGGGTGGCACCTACGGTCTATCCAAGTTGGCAATGCAGGGTTTGATCACGTCGGGGCAGCGCCAGTCTCTTGGCGCAGTTGGTCAAGTGGTGCAGCTGGGTGCAGCTTGGCTGGAGAGGTCCCGGGCGGCTTGCGCAAGGTCCTAAAGGCGGGAGAGAGGGACTAAGAGGTCGGAATAGTCACGAGCCGAAAGGGGAATCGGGAAGGGGGCAGGTTGTGTGTGTGTGGGGGGGGTGGTCGTCGTGTCTATCATGGGGATACTGGACAATGCGCCCCAAGAGCGTGGCACTAACCGAGCTTCGGAAAAGTGTCAGATCCAGCATGCCAGTTTGGAAGGGGCTGGGCTTGGCGGCTCCGGCGGCCTCCGGGAAGGGAGGCGGCGCGCGCGCTCCGGCCATTTTCAGCTCAGCTGGGCCCGGAGTTCGTTTGGCCCTGTAGTACCCCGAGGGCGGGGGAGGGGGGTAGATTACTTCGTGGTTCTGCCCCAAACGATCGCAAGCCCGCGACAATCGGGTCTCTCCGATCCAGGGAGAGGAAAACTAATCGATGAAATGGAGCACTGAACTTAGAAAATGTTACCAGACTTAGAAACAAGTTTGTGTGCGTCCGTCCGTGCGCGCGCGCGCCTCACTAAGCGCTCGAGGAGTTATTTTGATTGGAATGATTTGGAAAATCTGGGAAAGTAAAGCGTTTGACGGCCTGGAATGAAAGATGAGCACGTTCTTAGGGTCCTGGGAGAAGGAAGGTGCTAGAAGGAACACTAAATGGTCTTCCTTCCTGGACCTTTTTCCCTGGGACTGCGGCGCAGCCTCCAGGAGTGAAGTTATGCGGGGCTGCGTCGCTGGAGTTACCCGTGCGGCCTTTGGTACTGCTCGGCCACCGGGGAGGCGGGTGCCGTTTTCCCGCGGGGCGGGCTGGCGTCCAGAGGCTGCGGGGATCTGCAGAAGGGCCAGGTACCTTGGGGTTTTTTGCTTTTTGGCTTGCAGGCGTGAAATTGCCTAAGTGAAACGGGGCTCCTCTAAATGGAAATTTCTATTTAACATAAACAAGGATGGCGACATTTCTGTGACATTCAGGTGTTGTTTTTTATCTCGTAATGCCTTGGTAGTCTGGGTTCGCAGAGCAGGAAGTGTCTAGTTGATGGGCAAAAAAGTCAGGTTTGTTGGGAAATTGTGGGGTGGCATCTACTGTAGCTAGAGCAGGAGACAGGTTTTTTATTAGCTAAATTAGCATATTGCTTGGTTGCAAGAATGAATAAATTTTTTTAAAAGGTCCTCTGTGTCTAGTCAATGCCTCACCTAAGTCTTGCTTTGTTTAGAGGAAAAAAAAAAAAAAGCAAGCCTGCACAGGGAGCCCAGCCCTCCTCCCAAGTAAGCAGGGCACACAATCGAAAACTCAGTTTGCTGTCTCAGCGTCCCCCATAAACTATCTAGAAGCCAGAGTAGAAGACAAACACACTACAACCCAATTCTTAAAACCCAGCTATCAGCAAACACCCTCCCCCCACGCGGCCCTCCTCCCCCACCCTCCGCCTGCAGGGCGGGGGTGGGGGGAGGAGCCCTAAGGGACAGCAGCTGAGTACTCTGAAAAACTGGGAAGGGAGGAGGGGGCTGAGAGGAGCACCCACAACCCTGGAAGGGGGGGATAGGGGGCTTTGCTAAATAAGACACTTCAAGCTACTTTCTGCCTGCAACACTACCTTCCTTTTCCAGTTTCTAGCAAATTCTCTAAACATTCCCGAGTCACTAGTCTCCCAACTGGCCCTTTGTCTCCCCAGCCCTAAGCTAGGGTTAGCATTTCAATGGGCTCCCTAGCCCTTTATCAGAGGTAGGGTCTGCTTGGTGAGGAGTAGCTTAAAAAAAAAAAGCAGACCTTTTCAACTAGAGGCAAGTTACCAACTCAACACTGCATTTCAAATGGAGGGGGAGTGAGAAAATAAAGCTCGTTCAATAAGGTGGTATGCCCCAATATTTTATAAGTGCTCCCCAAAGGGGTTAATTTATAGAGCAAAAAAATATGGTGGCCAAATCAATATGACAGAAGCAATGGGGGGGTGTTATACCCCCTGAATTCTCAGTTAAGCCAAAACCAGCTTAGAATTTTAATTTTCCCCCTCACCACACTAATCATTTGCTCCACGGAAGTCAGCCTGGGGGGGGGAGGCGGTGCTGCACCGGCAGCTGAACTTTGAGCTGCAAATTATGTGGCCACTCCGGTTATCACTAGCGTGATGTCAGAATCCTTTTCAAAGTTTACACTCTGTTTAGTAGAATAGAATGATTGGAATTGTTTTAAGATGTTTCTTTAATGTGTGGCCAGCCTTTCACCGCCTGGGTTGTGGGGTTTTTGTTTTGTTTTTTGTTTTGTTTTGTTTTTACAGCCTTTAACTCTTTAGCTTGCATTGCTAGCAGCTGTGCTGGAAGGGTTAGCTAAGAAGAAAGCTGAAACTTCAATGCTGGTAAGAATTATCTTTTTAAAAAGCAGTTTTTATGGATTTTACTTTATTTGTATGATCACTGTTCTTCAAAATGGAGCAGAGCTATTGAAAGGAAACTCAACAGAAACTGTGTTGTGAGAAGTATCTTAACAGGAAGGTGACCTATCACAAAAAACAAATCTATGAAATCAAATTAAGCGTCCAGAGGCCAGTGATGTCATATGCCAACTCCAGAACTGCCCTTCCCTTCAGCACTGCCCAGCAACAGAGGACCATAATCTCAGGTTACACCTTTAATCCCCCTGCTCAGCAATGAGAGATGGGATTCCTGGTCCTGCAGGGGGCTTCTGATATCAAGGATTCTAATTTCCTAAATCTTCCTGTCCAATCATTAAGATTAGCGCATTAGGATTGAGGGGAACACACACACACACAGACACACACACAGACACACACACACAGACACACACACACAGACACACACACACAGACACACACACAGACACACACACAGACACACACACACAGACACACACACACACACAGACACACACACACACACAGACACACACACACACACAGACACACACAGACACACACACACACACAGACACACACACACACACAGACACACACACACACACACAGACACACACACACACAGACACACACACACACACACAGACACACACACACACACTAGGACTGGGCTAGCCCCAGTCCTATTGAATGGCTTGGATCTTACTCAGCACCACTCTGCCTCAGTTTCTTCTTGGGCGAACTAGCTACATGATGTGTTCTGTGTTGCCTTTCAGCTCCAAATGTGTGCAGGTCGATTAGATTAATAAGCCTTGAGGATTCACCTTTAACCCTACGCACCATTTTAGCACTAATGGAACCTAACAGTTGACCAAATTAAAAAGCACTATCTGTGAAGAAATCTGTATGGTGTTGTCTAATATCAGTTTTGTCAAATCTGCTTTTCATCTGGTGGCAAAAATGCTAAGAGGTGAGAGAGAGAGAGCAGACTTGATTTTCTCTCTCTAAACTGAGAAAAATCTGGCTATCCTTCAGAGCAGCCTTCAGAGGGAGGGGAGAGAGAGGAAGATGGAGGGGAATACAAGAGAGAGCATGTGCAGGAGAAGAGGAGGGGAGGGAGAGGGAGTGAGTGTGTGTGTGTGAGAGAGAGTGTGTGAGAGAGAAATAGAGAGGGTGTGTGTATATGTATGTATGTGTGTATGTGAGAGAGGGGGAGAGAGATATCTCTGGACTGACCGAGCCTTCCTGAGCTGGTGCAGAGAGCATAATCTAAGTGTCGTGTGGTCATTGCAGCAGGAAATGCACCCTGAGGGAGACCACGGGCAGATATGCCAGTTGAAAGATCGGGAGTGTTGAGCACATTATTTAGTCACAGTTTTATGTGTCCTGATCAGGTTAAACCTGGGAAAACAGCTTGGAGGTTAGAGCTACTTAGGATAAACCAATTCTTCCAACTCTATTTTTCATTATCACTCCCTCCAGAGAACAGCTTTCAGCTATTTTTTTTCTTAGCTGCCCCCTCCCATGAAATGTAATCTCACATCTAGTAATTGATAAGCTTTCTGCGAGCAAGCACGCGCAAACACACACACACACACACACACACACACACACACCCTATTTTGGCTCCACTGCAAACACATTGGGTAAACAAAGCAAATGCACACACCCCCGGGTTGCTTCTGTCAAATTAAGTGATTTAGCATCCTCTTTTTGTTCTATAAGCTGTC